TCACTACTCCGGTGGCGACACTCTGCACGACTTCTTGGAGAGGATTGAGGAGCTGGCGGAATGCTACCAAATCACGCCAAATCAACTCCTCCCAACCTTATCCGAAATACTCCGCGGCAGAGCACTACGATGGTTCCGCGTCCGAAGGCCACACATAACCACCTGGGCTATATTCCGCACCGAAGTTGAGCGATTCTTCCTTCCCCGTCGACACGTCAGTCAGCTGGAAGACGCTATTCGCCAGCGGAGACAGCAGAGCCGAGAGANATTCTTCCTTCCCCGTCGACACGTCAGTCAGCTGGATGACGCTATTCGCCAGCGGAAACAGCAGAGCCGAGAGAAGGCCAAGGATTACATCCTAGCCCTCCAAACGCTGATCAGACAGCACCCAACGATGTGCAGCGACGACCACTTGGAGCGCATCTACGTGGGCTTGCGAGTGGAGTACCGATTATTCATAAAACGGGGCGAGTTCCATACTATCGAAGAATTAATGGAACTCACCGACGAATATGAGCTGCTCAAAAGCGAGGAGGCCAGGCAAACCAGGCAAGCAGCACACTGCCTATTCACTCCACTCGAACGATACGATGCGAAGAACACCTGCTGGAGGTGCAAAAAGCGCGGACACCGCCGATTCCAGTGCAGAGGTCCGAGGCGACTATTCTGCTCACGANGAGCAGCACACTACCTATCCACTCCACTCGAACGATACGATGCGAAGAACACCTGCTGGAGGTGCAAAAAGCGCGGACACCGCCGATTCCAGTGCAGAGGTCCGAGGCGACTATTCTGCTCACGATGCGGACGAGATGGAACCCTCTCCAGGAATTTCCCGTGTCACGAGGAGAGGACAGCCATCTTCAAGTCACCCACCGATCAACCAACCACGTCTCAACCAGGCTGGCAAGGCCCCGATGGCCGCTTCTATGCGAACGTCCTGGTCGAAGGCATGAACATCCGAGCCCTGGAGCCACCTTAACATACATCAACGAATATCTACGCAAGCATTTGGAACAGCGCAATATTCAGCCACATCCTAACAAACGAAACGTGCAGTTAGCCGACCAAACGTGCGTCGCAAGCACCCATTCCTATCCTGTCCAAATTAAATATAACGGCCAAGCAACAAACACACTGGTGGCCGTCATCCCCAATCTGGCTGAAAAAATGATATTGGGAATGGATTTCCTGGCAAAGCGTGGCATCGTTGTGTCACTAGACAACCAGCCACTAGCTCCCGCCCCACCGCCGAGACTTGATACTACACACGCGCTATGCAGCCTAATTGAAAGGGCACACTTGAACGAGGAACAAAATAAAACACTAGCCGATTTTTTTGGAAACTCACAGAGAGCGATTCTCCAAAATCACCGGGCCCAGCACCGCCGCCGAACACGAGATCACACTCCGGCATCATCGCCCACTAAAACAACGCTATCACCCACGCAACCCTGCCATGCAGCAGGTGATAAACGCCGAAGTGGACGAGCTCCTCGCGGGGGAAAGGATCGAACCATCCAAAAGCGCATACAGCTCCCCCATCGTCTTAGTTCGGCAAAAGCAAGGAAGTTGGCGCATGTGTATCGATTACCGCCAGCTCAATGCCGCCAGCGAACCAGACGCATGCCCGTTACCCCAGGCAAAGGAGGCAAAATATATCTCCACGATCGACCTCAAAAATGGGTCGCCGCTTCGCCATGTCAGAGAGCACAGTCGACGCGGCGACAACAGCCGCCAACACCACCGAGCCAGCCACGGCAACCACAAACCCAGCCCAGGAGATCACCCCCGAACCAAGGGTCACCGAAACACCATCCAAAGCGGACCCGGCCACAACGAACGACGAAACGGCCACCGGGGACACATTCGACCCATTCAAAAAGCTGCGGCTAAGACGACCGAGAAACAATAAAGAGCGATGCCGATTTCAGTGGAAAGGGTACCGCATGCTCGCCACACAGATAGATGCGAACTACGCCATCGTCCGGTCAAAGAGGAGGACCAAGGTCATGGAATATATAGATTAAACCACCACCAACCAACNTCACGTTTTCCTTTTTTTTTGCTAATTCTTGTATGAACACAAAAAAAAAAATTAAACATTGTACCTATTATAATGTATACTTATTACAATTCTCATATCATTATAAATTAAACTTTGTACCTATATACTTGTATATACACACATATACCTATTACAACGCAAAAAAAAAAAAAAAATTAGATAATAACAATGAATAATAATCAATAAAAAAAAACCAAGACCGCCCCACACACACCGACCGAGCCAGGGTACAACGTACTCTGGTCAATAATACTTAGGCCAAAACTCTAGAATACCGCAACTTGTCGTCCGCCGAAGTGGGAGGGGACTGTAACGTAGCTTTGGCTACGCCATAATAACACATTCAACATCACCCTAGCATACGTCTTACAACTGCACATAG